AGCTAGTTACAGGGGCTGGAATCAGATGTGACATTGCTATATTGCTATGAAAGGTTTTAGCGAACAGGTCATGATAAAGACACTGGAGAACAGGGTGTGCATCCTTTCTCCTACCAACATTAAAACTTGGGTTTTGAACCATGAAGATGATCCACAACCTCAACAAAGTAGTTTAAGTTTCATTGATATGAATTATACCTCAACCATATGGGTAGCAGATGAGAAAAACCCTTCATTTATTTTGGAAAGCACTGACAACCTATTTTGTTGTTTAATTATGAGAACTTGTTGCGATGGTTGCATACTTTGGTCCATCTGTTCTTTTACTGAGATAAACCTGGAGTTACATAATTATATTTTTGGATACAGATGAAGAGCAGCCCGACAGAAAGCATCATGAACCTGTGTGTGTCAGTGTAGAGGCAGTTACTTTTAGCAGTCAACAGATGGCAGGATGTAGCTGGATCATTTGTATGCAGCAGCATGCCCATACTCGCTCACAAAACACACACACACACACACACACACACACACACACACGCACACACACACACACACACACGCACACACACACACAGCAGGGGCCAGCAGAATACATCGTGAGCCTTCAGAGGACAGAAGGTTTCCCTGCTCTTCTGTGATTAATGTGCTGATTGAGGCTGGAGCCAAAATGGAGGGTGGGCCAGTTTGCAGCCCGCTAATGAGGTGATAATGGAGAGGTGGGTGGCCGGGTCCACCACCCAGCAAAATGGTGGAAGCACCATGGGGAAGGTTTTAGAGGCAGGCCAGCTTTCCAGAGGGCAGGCGTGTGTCATTTCTCAGTAAAATGTTTTGAATAGTAAAGGTGGAGGGAGGCGTGGGGCTACTTACATCGATTTTCCACTGTAAAATAGGTAGTTGTTTGGTTTGCCTCAAAGCAGAAATCATGGTACTCGAGCAGTGAAAGCATTACACTGTAAATGTTACAGCTGGTAACTTGGACGGGGAGATGAAGAGATGTTTTGACTGTGACAGTGATTGCCGGGTTTGGAATAAGTGAGATTGTTGGCCTACTGAAGCTGCAGGGGAAACATCGTTGCATCACTGTAAGCTACGGTACAGGATCTTTTATCATGTTGATAGATTGAGAGTTATTTGAGCATGACTTATTGAATGTCTGATGCAAGACCGTAACTACATTTTCACCACCAGCAGGGTCTGATGTTTTAGAGTTTTGAAAAATGTGTCTTTTATATTCTTACTTTTTAGTGTTGCACTTGAAAGAGGCTGTAACTCAGCTGGAGCTGGTTGGCCATTATTTGTGAGGTTGGTGGTCTTCTTGTCCACTTGTCAAAGTGTTCTTGAGACACCGATCCCCGTGAAATGTTTCCCAAATGTGAGTTGCTTTGACTAGAAGCTTCCCACATTACATAATAACACATTCCTCATCCAGCAAGACGAATTGTTTTACTTTTATTTGCCCAGGTTTTGAGATATATGTGTATCTCATTGGTTGTTTACATGTACGTAAGTACCATTTTTACTGTTGTCTTTCTTCAATAAACAGATATCGTAAACATATAAGTGAGAAACCTGTTTTCTTTAATCAAGATAGGAGATCCTGATTTCCTCACTTAGATTTCTCCTGGTCAACACCAATTTCATAACCATGTGCATGTGTAACCCCGTGTAACAGATCACTGACCTGCTGCGTGTATACCCAGATACAGTAACCAGGTTACTACAATGAATGTTAACGTGTTCTCAGATGAGCTGTTTAACCAGGTTTTGGCTGAGTAACCCAGTTACTTAAAGTTGTAATCCTTAAGATTTCCGTCCTGAATTACTTGGTGACACCTGTGGAAACCATGGCAACATCAATTGTGGTTTAATACTATATCTCAACAGTCCTTGAGCATCTATTTTGTCACAAGAAATAAAAGCAACTAATGTATCTGTTTAGAGGAATAGCAGCAGTAGTAGGTATGTATAGGCAGTTTTTAATCCTGGGCAGGAATGACGGACTCCACCACTGAAAATGAAAACTACTATATAGAAAGTTGATTACAGATTGTAAATACACTAAATGGTTAATTTATCAAAAATGCTGACTTGAATAGTACCAAACATTTTCATGAAACTCTTAAGGATTATAACTTTAACTGCGAGGGATTAGGATTGTTATTTATTTATTTTTAAATCTCATTGCTCAGAGCTTTGGGCACCACAAACAAAATCCCATTCACCTTCATTTTACTGGGGTGGCAGAAGAAATCCAAAGGGCAGACCACTGCATGGTTACAGAGAAGTAAAGTAAGAAAATGTAAGTAATTTGGTTGAACTGACCCTTTCAAAAAAGGCCCAGCAGAAGTCTAACGACTGAATGAAGGTGACCATTATCCCAACTTTATGCATGTAGCTTATTTCCTCTATTATTCCCACTTATGAATTTAAAATATTATATTGGAAGGTGGTTCATGTTAAATCACAGCAAAACAGTAAAAAATAAACATAATTATTGACATAATACTGTAGGTATGGTGAGGATAGAGGAAACTGTTCCCTCTATAGCATTTTATTATGTTTATAGCCTTGTAAACAGTCTATGACTCAGACTTCACACAATTAATTGAGCCTTGCCTTTACAACGTGTTGGTTTGAACAAAGTAAGCACTCAGTTAATCTGCTTCTGTAACTCATTTCAACAGTAACTTAAATTTTGCTGCAGTTAACTTCAAAGATGCTCTCTTATCGTCCTAAACAGACGAGAGAACATCCTCTCTGTGTATTAGCAGAGTGGGGTCCGTTTGTTTCCCTCCAACGTATCAATATTTGAAACATTTCTCTCTTTAAACCTCTCAGCATCACTGTTTCTGTGGAAGGGACAACAAAGTAAATGACAGCATCCATCTAGAGAGACTTAAACCCCCATCCCCCCCCCACGCCTCGTCCTGGTCCCTGAAGGCTTTTTCTTGTATGCCGCAAAAATGAATTGATGTGTACAATTTCTTGTGTGCAAGTCTCTTGTACTTTTGTTTTTTGGTGTAATAGATGAAATACATCATCACTTGGGTAAGTCGGCATATGGATTAAAAGATATTTAAAAATCTTACAGAAAATAAACAGATTTGAGTTGTTTCCACAGCTTCTGTTATAGTGGAGGAGGTCACAATGTTGGCATGCAGTACTTGGGAATTTGGAAACACCAAAACAACCAAAATGTTATCATGCTTTCGGAAAATTGCTCACAAATACCACATAATGAACCATTAACCACTATACATCAGCAAAAACTATCATTAGAAATCTGGAGTAGAAAATGTGTGAAGTTGGGTTTGGCTCCACTTTACAGCTCAGTCCTTATGTTACATGAGGATTCATAGATTTCTTGTAATATTTGTATTATATCTTTATGAAGTTTACAATTATAGGTTCTGAATTCACAATATATAGACAATAGAGAATGATTATTGCAATGTCTGCCATGTCTCACTATTAGTTGATTTGTTTATTTTATTGGATTTATGGCATATTATACTTTTGTTTAGAATTTCTATTAAGTGGAAGAAATATCTGTTCATTTCAGTTCGCCTATTTTTAGAAGGCTAATTGCATTTTTCCAACCACCGAAGGGGTATCTTTCTTTGAATTGCTTCTCCCAAGGTTTCCACCATTTTTTCTCTAATGAGCTAAGTGTCTTTTTAAAGAGTTTTTTCTTGTCTTCTTAGAAAGCTTGAGCTGGGAAACTGTTAATATATTATGTTCCTGTAAAGCCTGCTGAGACATTGGATGTGATATTTGTGGTATGTTCTCTGTAGACCCCCACACAGGGACACACAGGACCATAGGAACTTTCTCCACTTTCACACTCCAGTTATATTTATAGTTCTGATTATTCACTTGATTTATCACTTACTCAATTGACAGAAATCAATACGAGATTAAATGAAATGAAATGAAAAGTTTCAGTTATCATTTGCTGTCCCAGCATTTCTCTGATTTGTATAAATATAATGGATTTTTTTGGCTGCTGGTCAGACAAAGTAAGCAATTTCAAGACATTACTTTGGCTTTGGTTTTGATTCCAACAATTTCCAGTGATTCCCATGAGGTAGCTGTAATTTTCATTAAATGATTGAAGGTTGTGCAAGTCGGTAATCAGTGCTGGAAGAAATATTCAGATCTTTGAAATGAGACATTCTGTATGTACTTGCTAATACTTTAGTATTTTTACTGAAGTAAAAGTTTGAATGAAGGCCTTGTGAAAGTGAAGTTAAAGATCTTTTTTATAGGCTACTTGACCAGTGATCATATATTATGTATGCAAAATCTGAACAAAGTAACCTCTAACTCAAAATTAAAGTAAAAAATACAATATTTCCCATTGTAATGTTTTTTTCAAACAGGGGTATGCGTACCCCTAGGGGTACTTTGGAGTACTGCAGGCAGTACGTGACATTTTATATTCAGTATTTGATTTTAAATGCAATCGTTGACTGCGGTGAACTCTCAACTCCTCTGGAGGATTTGAACACTGCAGTTGCTGCAGATCCTCATTGACTCATTAACTCCTCATTTCTCATTAAACTGTAAGTGCAACTACAATACTACCCAGGTGTCATTGCATTGGTTTGCTATGAATTTCGTGATGGATTTAAACATTTTAAGCCTGTATGTGTTTTCTTCATAAGTCAGACAGCATGTTTTCTACCAAAAATGTTTTGCACTGGTCAGGGGGTAAAAAAAACTATTTCAGAGGGAGTCCATTAATGAAAAACGTTTCAGAATTATCAGCAGGCTATTATATCATTGAATAATGTTGATGTTAATGCTGATGAATTATTAACAGTGATCAGTTTTGTGCGGCATTTTTCTTTGTCTTCATTTGATCACACTCCCTTAAACACACAACGGGCGGCAGGTGTCAGCAAAACACACCCTCAGCGCAGGTATGCTGGTTTGCCTTTCTACGGTATTTCTAACCCTCTAAACTCCGCCACAGTCGGACTGTGTAGCTGTGAGGGCTCAGTATTACGGCTGAAGTCCTCTTGGTGACGCTCTGCTGACATCACTCTGATATTCCCCACTCAGCTCTCCGCATCAGACGCACGGAGCTCCACCGACTCTCACACACTCCGTCCACACTTTGTTTCCATTTCGCTCCGCTCGCCGTGGCCAAGACGCACCATCACACACAACCAGCTGCGGGCTACCTGTACGCACTGCGGCCGGCCCACACGGGGAGTGGTTAGACTCTTCTGTCATTAACAGACTGAAGGAAATAGAGAGAGAGGGGGAGAGAAAGAGAAACTAAACACGGTCGAGGTTAGAGAGAGGAGCATTCACTGAGACAGGGGGAAAGAGAAGCCGCAACTTGGCTGATTTCAACCCAGGCAGTCTGAACTGAACTCGAAGTTTCTTGGCCGATCGGAGAAGGAATAATTTGGAGCCCGGTTGCCCCACACAGCGCTGTTGTGGATATTTACGTCCACCTGGTCTCCTGTTTAGAAGAATGGCGAGAGATTACGCAGGACGCTGTCCGGTCTCTCCGGTGAGAAACACTTGGCTCGTGGCCGCAGCGATCCTCCTCGCAGCCCAAGGTAAGACAAAAACGACCCGAGCTGTGTTTAAATAATCACCAGAGCCTCCTCCTCCCCCCCCCCCGCACTTCCAGCCCGGTGCGCCCTGAATGTGGGCGACCCGGAGCACTTTCAGCCGCGCCTCCAGCGCCCTGGCTGTGCTGCATGTATTCACTGTCACGTCTCTGTGTCCTCTCTGGTGGCTGTTTAGGTAGATTGTACCTGTAATAAAAGTTTATTGTCGAAACACTCCAAACCTGTGCGTGGAGTTTCGGTACGCCATGATACGCGAGGTGTGGCTCTCCTGGTTTGTGGTTTTTGTCCTAATTCCGCGCAGCTTCAGACGGCAGGTGACTGGTTAGGAAGCCTAATCCTCTCTGAGCCTCTACAAACCCTTCCAACACGGCTGACCTGTAATCGGTGTTTACCTGTTGGAAAGTGTCTAAGGGAAATGGAGCGTAATCAGAGCCGCAGGTCTGATTACTAACCATTAAAAATAATGGCAGAAATTGGTCCTCATTCTGCAGAGCAACAGGGTGGTGATGGGAAACACGGTCTCGGCAGGAAATGAGAAATGCCCCTACTCTTCAGGTAGCCCTTGAACAATGATTGTTGAGAGCCCTTAATGAATATGCACAGCAGTAATCCTACAATAAAATGCAGACTCTATAGAAATAAAATCATTAGTTTGTGCCTACGTTATTTTATATGTGCTGTTTGTTTAAGGAGGTAACCATGAATCATGACCAGTTTCTAGAGCCTGATGGATATCTGATCTTAGAGACCAGTGCTGATATTGATACCCAGAGTGAAAATACATTTAAAAATGGCCCATATTCCTTTATTTTTTTATACAGAAACAATTGACATAAACATTTTTTGAAATAATTCTTTAAATCCAGTTAAAAAGTTGTGCTTGGTTATTAAAGGAATGTCAAAGTTGAACAAAATACTAATTATAATAATAATAATAAACTAACTATCCTTAACACAGTATTAATAATCTCAATTTACAAACTATAAAAAGACAAACAACAAAAAGAAAATCAAGGGTCAAAAATAACTTCTACTGCAACCTCTATTTAAGTAACTGCCAAACACTGATACAGATCTTTCTGTGATAAGCCAACATAGGCTGCTCATATTAGTTGAGCTCTACTGTAAACTGTAAACTCTGAAGTGATGCAAGCACAATGCAAGACACTGTATGAATATAATAGTAATACCTTAAGAGATAAAAATACCTAAATTTATGCCAGGTTACTTATTTTGAGCAACACAGAATGCACAGTGTACACAAAGTCCCTGTTGCAGCACTGTAGGCAAGTTATAGGAACGCTGCTGTGATTTAAATACTTTCTGATGAGTATCATTGATAATCAGTAAGTTACCAGAAATGCCTACTAATAAGACTACTCTCAAGTCACTAAAGCAGACACTTACTGAGGGACTAATACGCCATAAACAACCATAGCGACACTTTATGTCTCTATAAGAACATTACAGTGATAGATATGGAGATAACCATAACCACAAGCTATGATAACTTCACAAAAATGCACCACTGAGTAACACAGACATGCTCTAACTCCCAGCAGAAACGATTTTGAGAGTTTTTTTCCCCAACTGGGACCAGCGACAGAATTCATAACAGCCGGCAGTCAGGCTACAGTGATCGGCATAAAAATCTGTGAACCCGCTCTGTCAGCATGAATCTGTCAGCCTGTTGTTTTCACCTGGGTGTAACTAGTATCATCTGTCAGTGCCGTCCCCAAATTGTCACCAAAGAAAAAGAAGATGGGTCATTATGGAGCCAGGACATACGTTGTCTCGTGCATTGACACGCCTGGGAGACATGCCTCTGAGATCAAAGCAAATGGGAGAGCGAGTTATTTCAAGGCCGTGAGCCACAGAGCCTGTGCTTTTTTTCATTATGCTGTAGCATCTGTTGCATAATAGGTGTCAATGTGAACTGTTATTTTGACTGAGTGTACAAGATAGGAGGAAGATTTAACCTTGATTGGAATTTGCTTTGTAATGACATTCTTTCTCTTCATGCATAATTGGGGCAATGTAAGACACAAGAACAGGAAAACCCCAGTGTAATGGCACATAAAATGAGGACTACGGTACTGGAGACCCCAGTGCTGTAAGCCATGCAGCACAGGTTGGTGTGAGGATGACAGATACTCAGCTGAGACTCTGCTACATCAGGCCTGTATTGTTAAAAAGCTGTCAGATTGTCATGACAGTATCCCCACAGGTTATGAATTAATTTGAACGTGCAACAACACAACTGTCTTCTCGGAGGAAAAACCTCCACACTCACATTTCAGCTACTTAGCCAGTGAGTTACTGATACTGAATGCGAAAGTAAAAGCTTGATTTTCCAAGACTATCCTGGCATATACAATGTTTTTTGAGTGAGACCAGGTTGTGTGTTCAGATTGATGATCTCTGTGTGTTTTAAATTACATGGAATATAAACAAGCGCTGTGAAAAAGGGGTCAACGGTGAAACTTTAACCATGATGTTTAAAGAGCCATGTTAACCTTCAGTAAAACAGGCAAAATAGAGTTGAGAGGATATCATTCCACAGCAATGATAATTAAGTCACTTCAGGTGCCCCCCCCCCCCCCCCTTCCTGAACCCATCTCTATATGCCCGATCCTGTGCTGAAATGTCAATGATGATGAGTCCCCTCGACGGCTCGGTGGAGACGAAGGGCTGATTAGCTTATCACTTGGAGAGCAGGCGGCCGATGATTATCGCCCTCAGAGCAGCGCAGCCTGATTATCGAGAGCTCTTATTAATGACTCATCGTCTGCCTCACATTGCGCCATGTTGCTGTTTGTTGTTTACATATTTGTGCAGCCAGTGCTGTAGTCCCGGTATAGATTTATGTTGGGTTTCTACCAGTTCGGAGCCAGTGCAGAAGGTTATGATGAAGAGGCTAATCAATGGCCTGCCTTTGTACCTTTGAGCATGGGACCCTAAATAACCACCTGCTTTAGTCATCCACTGGTGGGGTAGCAGGCAAAAGGACTAATTTGATAGTAATTAAATATCCACTGGTGTAGCATCTGCTGCATTTTAAAATTAAAAATCATGAGACATGTCCAATTTTACTGCTGTAATTATAAAGCATACACAACTTCTAACAAGCAAGTTCAAGATATTTATCTGTGAGTTGCCCACGACAACCAGTTGTGTACTTTTGGCCTTTGGGGCAAGAGCATAATTATTTGAATTTTTGTCTTTGCAGTATATTTTAGTTGATTAATTATTGGAACAGGCCTAGAGGCTGAAAATCTCCCATTATTTCAAAATCAAAGGGCAGTTTGAATAAAAATGCCTGTAATTTGCTCAGTTTAAGGAACAACTTTTTTTCGCTTTGCATAAATTCTATTTTAACCGTCTCCTGACCTTGGGGTTGAAAATGATTTAGAGTCTCTCCACCATCTTTAAAAAAAACAGCCTGTAGCGCAGAGGTCCCAGCCCCATTGTGGCTGATGGCAGATAGACTAAATGTCAAGGAGTGTGTCTCGGGAGAAGTGATCTTATGTGTGTGGAGAGGGTTGAGGGAGGGGTTGCCATTGTTGCCTTGAGAGTTGATCATAGGTATCATCACTGGGTTGAAATGTCAATGACCGTGTTAAGCAGCTGGATGTTTCTCTAGAGTCTATTTGTACGGGCTTAATAATATGTTTTAGCATAGAACCTTTTTGTATTTTTTGGTTGTAGGCTTGTTTATAAGGAACTTTGCAAACTGTATTATTAAGACTTTTCCCAAACAGTCAGAGTGCTACAAAGACAAACAGGGTAAAGAGGTACAGTAAGTCATCCATGCTGAATGTGATGATGCTTATTGAATGAAATCCTGAAATAATGAGCTTCTTTAACTGATACCCACCCTATTAAGAAAACAAGCTGCTGTCATGTGCGGGACCAGAAATTAGCTGTTTTGGGTCATGACCTGCAGTTTAAGGCTCGTGGACTCGTCAGACTCAAATGTCAGTGGCTCCTCCTGGTGAGGCATAGGGATGATAGTCATCCCCCCGAGAACAGACCGTTGATGTTCATTGAGAGCTTATTAATGACTCACACCAACACTAACTCCACTAGTGATGCTGGGGGCTGTTAGCGTTCAGGCCAATTTGTTTGTCATTGTCTGGGCTGTCATGTGTGGTAGTGATTCTCACCCAGAAAAGCGCAATATCAAGTCCTGCTGCTGTTAATTACAGCCTTTTCACTCATGAACTGACAGACTTACACATTGTGTTGCATCACATGCACTGTGATTTGTTTGTCTGCATTAATGTTTAAGTTTCTCTCCTAATTTTACCCTCTGGGTTTTCCTTATTGATCAAGGATTAAAATGTTAACGACTTCCCACAATTCTTTGCGGGCTGATGGACTGCTTACTTTGTATTGCAGGGTCTTGCATAATGCGGTTTGCTTGTTTTTGTACAATCAAAGAAGTTTTGATGATGTTGTTTAAAAAATTCCCATTGCAGCACTTAAGACCTAGAGGTAGAGGTTGGCTTGGTTGGTCACTCTCAGAGATTGGGAACTGGTTGTCATGGATACGGCTTTTGTGGATGAGACAATTTCACATCCCTTTGTTGTGCAACCATGTGCGGTGTGTGTGCGTGTGTGTCTGTGTGTGTGTGTGTGTATGTGCTTGTGTGGACCTTTTTAAAAGAGGCTTGCTGTAATTAGGGGGAGAAGGTTGGACTCTGGGTTGTAAGAAGCCTCATCAGTCCGGCTTGCAGAGAGTCCAGGAAGCAGGTTTTTATTCATCACCCTGCCTGCCAGGAGCCAGCGAGCATGTCTCTGCACTTGGTCAGCGTTTTTGTCTTTGTTCATTCCACTTCTGAGGAAACCGGTTACTAAGCAAATTCCAGATCACATTTCTAGAAATAAACCGTATCATGGCTAACACCTTGGCATTCCTTAGTGATTCCTCAGCAAACAGGTGTCAGTAGGAAGAGGGATTACACAGCGTAGCAACAGGAACA